ACTCTGTAACCACGTCACAAAAGTACGTTCGAGCAATTCACGAAAACGCTGCAAAACAACCACTCCTTAGAACCCATTTTCACATTTTCCAGGGCGACATGGGCCGGGCATCCTTGCTTCTACATGGGCCGGGCATGTTTTTGGTCCAACGCATCCAACGCACGGTTTCCTTCACGATTTCTGTGGCATTTCAACCGCCGCCGTCGGGATTTCGTCCCAATCTCTTATTTATTTCCTTCCGGAGCTCTCACATTGCTGCTATAGATCGGTGCCTTCTCCAAACCTAGCTACTAGCGGCAGCATCATCGATCTGCTGCGCACCAAGCGCCATGATGCTGACACGGAGCATGGCGGCAAGGCGGAAGCCGCTGGCTCTCCCGCACGACATGCTGGTCGAGATCGCCAGGCATATCGCCGCGACGTCGCCACACCCGACGGAGGACATGTGCAGCCTACGAGCCACATACGTGCGTGTCCGTAGTACACCCACCGTGTTCACATCGCTGATGTACCGTACAAAATATTCATGCTGGCGCACCTAGCGTAATAGCTCCTGGTGCAACAAGCCAAAATGTTACGCCAGGCACACCAGCATGGATATTTTGTATCCATTGAGCAAATATGGGTTGTAATTGTATGGTGGTATCCGAAAACATATTTTGGGGACAGCCTAAAGCACTCATGGTATCATTATGAATGTACAAGCCAAAACTATGAAAGCCCAGAAATATACATACCCAGTTCTTATTCCTAAACGTCACGTAACAAGAATATAAAATCGTAAATAGTGACAAATTCTTGCCTTACACGATCTAAGTCTACGGAAATAAAAAAAACGCTTATACACTAGTTTCATCCACATTGAATTTATATATATCAGAATAGGATAGAGGCATCATTCAAGGGGTCAGATCTACTTAATTTATCTTTCTTTCCAATTTTATTGTGGGTTTGATAAGAACCTTTTTTTTTGTTTTGTGGATAGAAAAAGAGTTTTTTTATAACCCGCTTGTTTTATTCTAACAAATTCTATATCGAGCAGCCCACTCAAGAGAAAATCGATCTGATTGTCTCTCAGCCTATATCGAATTTTGGAAAGAAAAAAAACAGAATTTTCTTCTTTTTTATATGAATCCGCATTTCAATTTCACCAAAGTACATTTTCAAACCGAACCTACTCTTAAAACCACTTAATGTGTGAACTGCAGGTGTCAAATAACAAACTTGCCCCCCATCTATCTCTCTTCTCTCAAGTCCCTCACATGTGCGAGCCCAGCATGTTAACATGTTCTCCTACTTCCTACTCCCGGCACCAGATCGAAGCCGTCGCAGGCCTGTACCGGCTTGGGCGCCTGCGCCAGCCGCCACTCTGCCCTTTGGATGCAGCTGGTGAGGGGGATCGGGCTGCGGCGGAGAGAATTGGCCATATAATTGACCGGCGACACTACTACAAATTTAGACATTACTGCCGGCCTCATCACTGTCAGATTCGTAAGAACCGGCAGTGATGTACGCTTCCGAGCTTGAAAACAAGAAAATGATTGAGGCTGGGCTAAAACCGACATTGAAGCACCACATCACTGCCGGTTGTTAATACAAACCGACAGTAACATCTATTTATTGTCGGTTGAATTACCGAACCGGCACAGATCCATACTCCCGGACCTGATAATTTTATCTATCCCAGTTAACTCCGCACGGCTCCCAACTCTATCCGCTCCTCCCACGCCCTCCCAACTCCCAAGCCGGACGACAGACTATCTCCTCCTCCCTAGATCTCCCCACGCCTCCACATCACGGCAACCCCGGCGCTCTCAGCGACAGTAGGGTGCGCGGCGGCGGCGGCATGCGGCGTCGTCCTGGCGCCAAGCTCTCCACGGACCCGCAGAGCGTGGCGGCGCGCGAGCGGCGGCACCGCATCAGCGACCGCTTCCGCGTGCTCCGCAGCCTCGTCCCCGGCGGCAGCAAGATGGACACGGTGTCCATGCTCGAGCAGGCCATCCACTACGTCAAGTTCCTCAAGGCGCAGATCAGCCTGCACCAGGCCGCGCTGATGCAGCACGAGGAAGGGTGCCATGCTGAGATCGCCGCCGCCTACTCCAGGTGCTGTCAGAGGAAGCTTTGAGGTGTTGCTGCTGCTGCTCATCAGCCGTACGGGCTCGATCCCAGGCATCAGCTGAGTGGTGGGCACGAGCTGCCACCGTTGCCTGCTTCTTGCATCTTCGTCGAGGAGCCTGTAGATGCATGCTACTCTGTGTGCGACCTCGATGAATCCACCCCGGCGCCTGCACGACCGCTCTTCTCTCCTCGGTAATCTCGCTTTCTGATGCTTTCTCTCTCTCACGCTGTGTCTCCTCAGATCTGTCGTCATAGGGGCGGTGACTGGAAGCGCGGCCTCAGATCTAGCGTTGGAGCGACTTGGTCTGCCCGGCGGCATCCCCAATCGCCCCCTCTTGGCCTCCCCTCCCCTCCCTCTATGTTGTGTGAATCAATTTGTAGATGAGTTATTTTGTTTGTGTTCAACCCTGCTCCTTTGTATGTGATGTACGAATCGATTTATGGATGGGTTGATTTGTGATGTGTTGAACCCTTCTCCTTCCTCTGCAATGCACGAATCGATTTGTGAATGAATTTTTCTGATGTGTTGAATCCATCCTTTGTCTGTGATGTATGAATTTTTTTCTTGGATGAAATGCTTGATGTAGTGGCGGCGGTAGCCAGCGAGCATGGTGGCGGCAGCGGCAGTAACGAGCATGCTCCAGCCAGCATGCTTGTTGGATTACTTTTTTTTTGTTTTTCTGAACCTTATCACTACCAGGTGAAGTACCGACAGCAGTAGCCAACGAGCATCACTGCCGGTTCAAAATCCGACAGTGAAGGAGGATTTTGAATCGGCAGTGATGTCGAAAACTGGGGTAGTGTGAGCTCTATGGGGAATGAGCGGTAGGGGAAAAGGTGAGGGGGAAGATGAGAGGCAGACACGTGGACCCCATTTGACAAACACCCCCATCCCATCACCTCCAAGAAGCTAGGTTGCCAAGCAGCCTCATCTTTTCCAGATGCCAGCTTCCAGAAAGCTAGCTTTCAAGGAGCAAAAGGCTTTTAAGAAAGCCGCGACTCAAACAAACAGGTCCTAAGGGCATAAACACCATCATCCCTTTATATTAATTTATACTAGTGGTCTTCTTCCTAGTGGTATAGCTAGTATATTATACTAGTATATGGGCAATTGGGGAAAATTAGGATGGCGTCGACGGCTTAGTGGGGACGGGGCGTTGATGGTGGCCTCATGTTTCAGGCTGGCTTTGGCTAGGTGGTGATAATTGGGTGCATTATCTATAAATACCACTAATAGTATTCTCTTTCCTGAAATACCCCTTCTCTAGCTATACCACCATACTACCATTAGTTGTATAAGACGCCTTAGAAGTCTAAAAATGATTATAGCAGTGTGTATTAAGTTCCCCTAAGTCCAAACTAAAGATTGAAACGCCGCTTGAAAAATAGGAAACAATCAAACCTAAAAAAAACTGTAAAGTCTAGAGCTTGTAGGATATCATGTTTCATAAAAGAGAAAAACATTCAGAAGAAATAAAGTGCTATGCGTACACAACTATATAGATTTGTATGGGAGAAACCAAAGGCACACATAATAATAGAGACTTTAACCGAAATGTAAGAGACATTCTTACAATTCATCGCAAGGCCCTTCCCTCCCTCTCCCAAAGACACATATATACACAGAAAAGAAACCCTACTTTTCCAAAGCCATGCTCAGATCTAACATACCATCTCCAAGGAGAGAGAGTGGGCCTGAGGAGAGACATCATCATTAATTGCTTCCACCACAGTCACCTTTCATTGTCAATCCGTTGGGGACCTGATTGATCGAGGAGGGATAGAGGGTAGTTGTGTCATCGTGAGGACAGGAGGCAAAGAAAGGGATAACAGTGAAAGAGAGGAAGAAGAACTAGGATGATGATGCAATGGCCTTGTGGGGCTTCTTTTCTGTGAAGAATGCTAGTTGAGCCTTGATAGTAACATTGCAGCTTGCTCGGTCATTGTTCTAGAAACAAAGAGGACGATGGAGGATGATGATGAAAGAGGACGATTGCATTGGCCATTGGCAGGCATCCACCACACTGATAGGCTGGTCTCTCTGGGATATCAACTGAGATGTCTTTTATGGAAGAATTATTGCTCTACATCGTCAGTAGAATTTGCTAGCAGTGTATATATGCAACTCGATCTATATATCACTATTTGCCTGCTGTGGATATTGACCAGAAATTGCTTCGAGGACAGCATGTTAAGAAACCGTGGAAGATCAAATAAGACTAGAACGTACTTCTCCCAAGATGATCTTCGTTTGTACAAGATATAGTGTTTCCTTTCTTTCATTATATTGTTGAGATGGATTGGTTGAAAAAGTTAATTTTGGCATGCATGTATGTATATATACCCTGCTGTGGAGTTACGATTTAGATCATTTCCCGCACTTTGTTTTCACAAATTAACGCTCAAGTTGCAATGCTCTTTTATTATTTATTTACTTTCTCCTCCACCGATGCTTTTGATAGAAGTAGCTTTCTGGGTCCCTCTCTTTTGAGAAACAGAGAGGTCGATGCATGGCTGAGTTGGGGAATGTACTTGCACTTGGCTATTGGCCGGCATATATGTGCATCGCAGCTCTTGCTGACGTGCATAGCTGGTCGTTGACAGAGCCTAGAAGGAAGCTAGAGCCTTTTGATATGATGAGTAGAGCAGCGTACCGTGTGGTCAAGAAATCAAGAGCTAGCCGGCCGGCAGGCCGCCGTTTAGAGCTGCCAAACCTTGCATGTGCAGTGGCCGGGAAGTCTCCTCCGATCCGATCCTATTTATAGACGCATCAGCGAGAGGGATCGATCAAGCAAACCGGGCATTCGAGCGAGAAGCAGCAGCAAAGGAAACAACCCAACCCACTGGTCTAGCCTAAAGATCGAGAAGCAGCGCGCAGCACCATGGCGCCACGCAAGAGGGTCGTCGTAGCAGTAGCACTTGTGCTTTTGGTCGCTGTTCTGGTTAGCGGCGGCCAGGCCCGACAGGCAGCGGCCAGAGGCGCCGACGGCGTGGAGCTCCGGAGCTTGGCGCGCGGCATCATCAACGTCGTAGTCGGCGACGGCTACATCGGCTGCCTGGAGATGGGCTTCTCCAGGTGCTTCGCGGATCCCACGCTCATCTGCGTCGAGGATGCGATGGTGGAGTGCAGCCTGCAGGCCGCGGCTGCACCGGCGGCGACGACGACCGGACCTGCAGCCCCTTTGGCTGGAGGCGGAGCGGAGGCGGAGCTTGTCTTTGGCGCCATTGGAGGCATCATCGGGCACGGCATCACTACTCTCGGCGCCAAGTACATCAACTGCGTGGAGATTGACCTGGCGGCCAAGTGCTTCTCGGACCCTACCATAGGGTGCGTCGAGAAGGCCATGGGGGCGTGCTAGGCGTCGTCTACGACCTCTAGGTCGGTACGTAGCGTGTATGTGTACGTGCATGCATACTACGTACGTACGACGTACCTACCTTTACTACTACTAGTAGTACGTGTGTACTGCATGCGCGATCGAACATCCTTTTTCTGGATCAGCTCAGGCCGGCTCAGGAAAAAAGGAGGATCATCATATATCGATCGATCCCTATATATGAGCTCGATCGCGCTTTAGTTTCTGTGTGTACTGATATTGATCATCTGATCCGACCGTCCACATGATATATCGAGGTTGGAGTAAATAACTACTGGACTGTGTGTACCTGGTTATTAATATGTAGGGGAATTTTGCTCAGGGACACTGAAGAATGGCGTTATTTGCCGCCGGACACCGCCAACTCGCTTATTGGCTCAATACCATTATGAATCATGGTTTATTTGGCAGAAGACACCGCAGTCAGTACTTTACTCTTTTCTGTCATTTTGGAGAGAGAAAATTTTGAAAATGACGCTCGATGCCCCTGCTTGAACCAAACCGCGTCGGTCAAAGGCACACATCCCCTTTGTTAAACCCTAACCCCTTCGCACTCAGCCACAGGCGCCGCCGCATCTCTTACCGCATCCACGAAGCTCCGGCGACAACCTGGCTTCCGCCGCCTCCTCCGGCACGGCTCGCGCCCATGGTTTGATGGACGTCTGAGGATGGTGTCGTCGTCGGAAAAGTGAAGCGCTTATGCCAAGTGTAGATTCCCCTTGAAGGGGCTCAATCTAGCATGGGTTTCTGAAGGTACGCCTGTTCTTCCCTTTTCTCTCGTTTCCTTTTTCCCCGTTTGCTTGTTGTGGTTGGATTTGTCTTGCTCATCTTAGTATTTGTTGGGCCGAATCTAGGGATTTCATGGTTTCTTGTTGTCCATTTTTTAGGATGGACATTAGTATCGCCTGCCGGATTGATGTGCGGGCCACTCCGAATCTTAATCCTCTCTTGACTGATTTCCAACTAGTGGTTGATAGGGACACTCTGAATTTGAAGGATCTTACTAACAATGTAGCAGCTAAGGTCGCTATGGAGCTAATCAGGGCTTGAATCTATGTTTTTACAACAAGCCGAGAAAATGTTACTCCACTCTTAGTCTTCGACTCCATCTTTGATGGATGCTATTGACATGTATTGGGATCTAAGGAAGCTGGTTGTGTATGTGGGGGTGTATGACTTTATTGCGATTGCATATAGTCGAGTGTTTCTGGCGATGAGGCAAGACACGCTCTTGAACCCCCTGTTCAAGCAGGTGACCATGATGATGCAGAGCCAGATCCTTGTGATGATGTTTGTGATGGTGGCACTGATATTGATAGAGAGATGAAAAGTGTTCCAAGGTCAAAGAAGAAAAGAAAGGAGGTAGCTGATGATGATGTGTCTTGGGAAGAAGATGAAGAATATGTGGGGGTGAATGATGAAAACCATTACATGTCTAGCCTTAATGATGATAATGCAGAGGTCAGGATGTTGATGCTTATGACTCGGACGGTAGTGGTAAGGATGATCTTTATGTTGATGATGAAGCTGGTTGTGAAGTTTTTGAACATGTCACTGACTTAGAAAACCCAACCATAGCTTGTGGGGTCACATTTGAGGATGGGGATACCTTTAAGAGAGCAATTAGGCAATTTGCAGTACTAAATGAGTTTGAAATTGCAGCTCTTTACAGTGAGTCAATAAGGCATCTGAGAGGGATGCGCAAGGGTTTAAAGAGCAAGAAGAAGAGGTGTAAGTGGAGGATTCATGCATCTCAGCTGCAAGATGGCAAAACTTGGCAGGTATGCTATTGAATCATTTTTGTTATTGAACTGATAGGATGGGTTACTAAATGTGAATTTTGTGAACATGTTTGTTTTTGTTGTTTAACTGCTTTGCAGATAAAGAAGATGTATGAGAAGCATACTTGTCCAAGCACATCCAAACTGCATCAAAATTGTATGGCTAACAATGCCTGGGTGAGGGACAGGATAATTAACATCCTCAGAGAGGAACCGACAATAGGGGCAGCAGCATTGAAGAGAGACCTAGAGAAGAAGTATAACATTACTTTGTCATACTATGTGGTCTTTGATGGCAGACGGATGGCTCTAGAAGAAATTAATGGCAAGTGGAACGACAGTTTCGATGATGCCTTCAGTTTCAAGGCAGAGGTTGAGAGAACCAATCCTAGTAGCATTGTGGAAATTGAATGGGAAAATGTGGGAAAGAAGATGAGATTCTCAAGGATGTTTGTGGCACTGAAGTCATGTGTTGATGGATTCTTGAATGGATGCAGACCCTTCTTGGGAGTTGATTCAACAGTGCTAACAGGGAGGTGGAGAGGACAGCTAGCCTCTGCATCAGCAGTAGATGGAAACAACTGGTTGTTTCCAGTTGCTTATGGTGTGTTTGGTTCAGAATCCGCTGATAGTTGGAAATGGTTCTTTGAGAAGCAACAGACTGCAATTGGCTCCCCACTAGGACTTGTAATCTCTACAGATGCTGGTAAAGGAATTGACAGTGCAGTGACTTCGGTTTTTTCAAATGGAGTTGAGCATAGAGAGTGCATGAGGCATTTGGTGAAGAACTTCCAGAAGAGGTACAAAGGTGATGTGTTCAAGAAGCATTTGTGGCCATGCAGCATGGCATACAACCAGCAGCATTATGAGTACCATTACAACATAATGAAGAAGGCTTCACCAAATGCAATCAAATGGATAGAACAAACACATAAGCACTTGTGGAACAGATGGAAGTTCTCCCACGCCAGCAAATGTGACTATGTAACAAACAACATTATAGAGACATTTAATAGTTGGATCAGAATGGAGAAGTCACAGTCAGTCATATCTCTGATGGATAGGATCAGGCAGATCATCATGGAGAAAAATGCAGCGAGAAGGACATTTGCAGAGAAGCTAAATGATAGGATTCTACCTAACATCACAAAGGACCTAAATGCCAGGAGCAGGAACCTGAATTATGTCATACACAAAGGACCTAACAACACAGCAGAGATTCAGGGTAGTACTAAGGAATTGAAAACTTGGAGACACACTGTTGATTTGGACAACACATCATGCAGCTACCAAAGGTGGCAGATAACTGGGCTGCCATGTACTCATGCACTTTGCTTGATCAATGCATTGAGGAACAGGAATGTGGAAGATTATGTACATGAGTACTATTCTGTAGCCATGTTCAAGAAGGCTTATGAAGGGGTTGTGCATCCCATGATAGATAGAAGCCAATGGCCTAAGGTTGAGATAGACTTTAAACTTTGGCCTCCAGCTTTTAAAAGATCAGTAGGATGACCAAGGACAAGAAGGTTGAAGGGAGCTGAAGAAGGTGGCAAGGGAACTCGTAGACAGATGCAGTGCAAAAGATGTAGTCAATTTGGGCACATGATGAATACTTGCAATGAGACAGTGTATGACTCAGATGCACCTCCTCCTGCAGCAGCTAAGCCCAAAAGAAGCAAGGGAAAGAAAAGCAAGCCAACTTTTACAGTTTCTACCCAGCAGTCTCAGGTTGGAGGAAGCACTGCAAGTGCTGTAGCAGCACCTTCTAGCCCTGCAGCCAACACTAGAAGGTACCTATACCTGTTTGCCTTATTGCCTTGACATAACTATGATATCCAAAGACTACATACTAACATTTTAGTTCTGCACCTGTAGCCACAAAAGGATGTTGGCCATGACAGATGGAAGTTCATCCCCTCCCAAGAAGATCAAGGTGACAACCAAGAGGACACCAAAGAGGAAGAACACTACTGGCATGGCAGCCAAGAAGAAACTAATCATGGATAAGCACAAGTAGTTTAAGTACTGAAGTGTCCAAAACAATTGCTTTTGTTGACATGTGATGTCATGTGACACTCGATTTGTGCTGTTTAAGGTGTACTGTGACATGTGAAGGCATGTACCTTCAAGATGTTATGTTAATTACTGTCAGCTACCTCTAAGATTATCATGCTTTAAGATGTTATGTCTATTGTCTTTGCTTTGCTCAGTGTTACTTGGTTGACAAGCACATAGTGATATTGAAGGATAACAGCTCATGTCATATCTCTGAGTTCACATGTCAACCCATTACATTACAATGCAACTGGCACATTTATTGTGGCTTCTATTTGCTGTGATGTGAACAGCAATATATGCTGTGGTGCTGGACCTGTTATGTAATGCCAGACTTAATGTATCGGCTAGTTCTTATATAATGCCAGAATTATTGTTGGCTAAGATGCATCTGTGACATATTTGCATAAATTCAGAAGGTGCACATTTTCTTCACATATTACCATACCGGCATTACATTGACTGCTAGAATTTGTTCACAGATACAATTAGATAGTGCTGACATCCAGCCATACATGCTAGCTACTAAGCTACTTACAATATCACTTGAATGACAACACTAGCAGAACAAGCACTACAACTACCAGGTTTGCAAGGCCAATAAAGAGGAGGCGCTCTCCAATTTTATCAATTTTGTTGCACATTACGGCCTTGCAATCAGCTGCATCCTTCAAGTTTGCCTCTGCATCTTTCATTGAAGCCTGCAACATGCGAGTACACTTCTCTACTTCTTCAACAACTACCTTCATCATGTCAGCTGGTTCGTTCTTCACAACTTCATATCTCAAAAGGTCTGGGGATCTAATCCGACCGGAAGATGGTGGAAGAATGCCTATGCGGACCAAGTACTCAACATATTCATCTTCAAACATGTAGACGGCGCAAGCAAAATCAGTCTGCACAAGAACATGTAGAGCCGTAGGAAACAAATCACAAACCAAGATGACGAACAACAAACTCAGATCAACCAATGAAATCACTTACATGCTCTAGCAAAGGGCACTTATAGAACCTCTTCCCCTTGCTACCTGTCTTCTGTGACACACGGCTGATGAACTGGGTGCCGCACTTGTGGCATGGAACCAAGGGCAGCATCCCTCCAGTGTCCCTAAATGGCTCCAACGCGGCCATAGAGGACGCGCG